CTGCGCGAAGGCCTCAGGCCGTGTGAGAGGTAGTGAAGGCACTGACGGCTCCCTCACGACCAAAGCCAGCATACCCTCATCGTCGTCGCCGCTGCCGTCGCCACCGTCGTCGCCATGGTCGCCGTCGTCGCCGTGGTCGCCGCCGTCGCCGCCTCCGTGGTTGAACCCCTCCTCGTCCTCGTCCTCGCCGCCATCGTCGCGGCCTGCATCTCGCTTGGGTCCACCCTCCCCCCCACCACCCACGGCGACACCATCTCCCTCAACACCCGTGGGGACGCCCTGTCGGGCCGCCCCGACATCAGCCTCCCCACCAAAACCCGCTCCGACTCCGTCACCGCCGCCACCCCCCCCTATCTCCAACTCCCTCAGTCCGCCCTGCTCCTCCATATACGCGAAACGACCCTCCCATCCCGACAATGTCCCCAGCCGCTCCTCCTCTCTGTCCAGCCGGGCATCCCGCGCCTCGGCGCTCTCTATATGGTCCCGCACATCAGAATCGTCGATACGCACGTCCGACAGCGAGGCACCCCCCTGTCTCGGGGCACTGAAATCCCCCAAACCCCCGCCAGAGCCGCCGGCGTAGAAGTCGTCGGTACGCAGCTCGGACGGCGAGCGATGGCGGACACCGGCGCAGGATGGAGTCGTCTCCAACTCCGGAATGTCCGCAAGCCCGGTCCCCTCACGGTGCTCGGTCGGTGGTGTCCGCTGTCTCTCCGCTGCCGATGCCGACCTCGTCCTCGGCCTGGTAGGCTCGGGCGGTCCCGTAGTCTGATGATGAGAGGGAGAGAACCGACGATCCTGCCCTCGCGGCACGTCCTCCTCCTCCTCCCCCTTAAGCTCGCTGTCGCTCTTGACGTCCCAACGTTTGCCTGTCTGCCGAAGGCCTCGAAGTGGCTCCTGCTCCTTCACGTGCTCGTCGGCACGCAGTCGTCGTCGACGACGATCACCGACTTTGCCGGTGCCACTGGCCTGACCATTGGACCTGTCTCTTATACACATCTAGATGTGTATAAGAGACAGCCCTTAAGCTCGCTGTCGCTCTTGACGTCCCAACGTTTGCCTGTCTGCCGAAGGCCTCGAAGTGGCTCCTGCTCCTTCACGTGCTCGTCGGCACGCAGTCGTCGTCGACGACGATCACCGACTTTGCCGGTGCCACTGGCCTGACCATTGGACGACACATCGTCAGTGATGACGGATGTGTGTGGAGCCATGCCGTCAGGTCCTCCGTCGCCGCTGAGGTGAGCGTCATCATCGTCCGTCCACTGGTCGTCCGACGTGTCGTCGTCCGCATCAGCGTCCGGAGTCTGCTCCGGCTACAGCCGTAGCTCCGCTGCCCTCTTGCCGATCACGTCCTGAACCGGGTCGGCTCTGGACGGTCGACAAGCATGGAAAGGGACGACCTGGCGCTCGATGTCCTGCTCGCTGAAACTGCCAGCAGGTCCCGCTCCCCACACCTCGGGGTCCACGTCCCCCTCGTCGTCCTCCTGCCCTCGCGCGGTCTCCTCCTGACCGGTCCCATAACCCAGGGCATCACGCAGCCACTACCCTGCTGTGCGCACCCAGCCAGTTTGAGATTGGTGGCAATCTCAACCAGCTGTGCAAGCTTGGCAAAGCCAAGCTTGTGGCGCCTCGCCGTGTTGATGCGCTCGTGCTGCGCCCAGTTCCTCTCCGCAGGAGAGGTGGATGTCCACAAGTGCATCACACGGATGGCGATGGTGCGCAACTCAGGGTGACGACGTCCGTGATCAAAGCACCACTGGGCTCAACGCTCAGTCTCGCGGTCCCCCCCACAATTGTCGGCCTCGGCATCGGACAGCTGCCGATCTCCCCAATCTCCCCGCCACGAGTGGAAATGCCTGATCTGGTCGCGGACTGTTCTGTACAGTCTGCCAACCGGATCGCCGCCAGTCTGTGTGAGCAGAAATCTGTCGCACTCCTCGACCACACAGGCATCGTCGCTGGTCATCTGCAACGACTCATAATATCGGAGGGACCGGCGGCGAGGGTTGAGGAGGTGTGCCGCGGCATGTGCGGGCTTGAGCATGTGGAGGTTGCGGACGGCAACCTCGCGCACGCACGGCTCGACCATGTCCACCGGCACGTCCACCCTTCTCATCAACTCGAGAAGATGCTGACTCCACTCGTAAACGATGGACATCATCATCCCCCCTCTATCCATCCTCCTTAAGAGCTGGTGGATGGGCGACATAACGCCGATGGCACAGTCAACGCATCACCAGAACTCGCCGTCGCGGATCTGCTGCTGAACCCACTGTACCTGGGAGACAAGCCTGCGCTCCCACGGGATGCGCTCCCACGGGATGCACGCCCACGCGTTGCTGTGCAGCATGTTCTCTAACGCGTCCGACCGGCCTTTGAGACACGTCAACATCAGGAAAACTGATGCAAACCGGGTCTCAACGGGCTCAACCAGCGTGACACGAGGGCTCATCCTTCTCTCTCTCTCTCTCTCTCTCTCTCTCTCTCTCTCTCTCTCTCTCTCTCTCTCTCTCTCTCTCTCTCTCTCTCTCTC